CATGAGAAAACAAAAAGATAATTACTTGATACATTGGAAAGAATTAACACAAAAAAAACAGATCAAACTAGAATGCTATTTGGCACTAAACAGAGAGTACACAGTGGCAGAATACCTGACCACTGTGACTGACTCAAACTTAAGGAAAGCTTTGACTATGTACAGACTCAGTGAGCATAGCCTTGCTATTGAGAAAGGCCACCGTAGGCAGACCTGGCTCTCATGAGAAGACAGGCTATGTGCACACTGCCCACAAAAGGAGGTGGAAACTGAGCTGCACTTCCTAACCTCCTGCCAAATATATGAACATATTAGAGACACATATTTCCCTCAGATTACACAGACCTACAATGAATTATAAAACAAATCACATTTTGATAGACTCCCATATCTATTGGGTGAAATACCACAGTGTGCCATCACAGCAGCAATATTTGTAACCTGTTGCCACAAGAAAAGGGCAACCAGTGAATAGCAAACACCATTGTAAATACAACCCATACTTATGTTTTATTTATTTTTCCAATTTGCACATCGTAACAACACTGTATATAGCCATAATATGACATTTGAAATGTATTTTATAATTTTGGAACTTTTGTGAGTGTAATGTTTACTGTACATTTTTTATTGTTCACTTTGTTTATTATCTATTTCATGTAAACTTATGTTTCAATAAAGCCCCTTAAATTGAATTTAAATTGAATTGAGAGAGAGCGCTTATAGATTACAGTTCAAAATTTACATTTCTGTCCGATTTCCCCTGTAATTGATGAGTGTCTTTTTCTTTTCAGGTGCTGGGGAGTCTGGGAAAAGTACAATAGTGAAGCAGATGAAGTGAGTTCATGTGTCACACACAGAGTGCCTTCGGAAAATATTCAGACCCTTTGACTTTTTACACATTGTGTTAGGTTACAGCCTTATTCTAAAATAAAAAACAATCTCATCAATCTACACACAATACCCCATAATGACAAAGCAAAAACAGGCTTAGAAATGATTGCAAATGTATTAAAAATGAAAAGCAGAAATATTACATGTACATACACTACCGTTCAAAAGTTTGGGGTCCCTTAGAAATGTCCTTGATTTCGAAAGAAAAGCAATTTTTTTGTCCATTTTTAAAATGACATCAAATTGATCAGAAATACAGTGTAGACATTGTTCATGTTGTAAATGGCTATTGTAGCTGGAAACGGCAGATTATTTTATGGAATATCTACATAGGCGTACAGTGGCCCATTATCAGCTACCATCAGTCCTGTGTTCCAATGGCACGTTGTGTTTGCCAATCCAAGTTTATAATTTTTAAAGGCTAATTGATCATTAGAAAACCCTTATGCAATTATGTTAGCACAGCTGAAAACTGTTGCGCTGATTAAAGAAGCAATAAAACTGGCCTTCTTGAGACTAGTTGAGAATCTGGAGCATCAGCAATTGTGGGTTCGATTACAGGCTCAAAATGTCCAGAAACAAATAACTTTCTTCTGAAACTCGTCAGTCTATTCTTGTTCTGAGAAATGAAGGCTATTCCCAATGCGAGAAATTGCCAAGAAACTGAAGATCTCATACAACGCTGTGTGCTACTCCCTTCACAGAACAGCGCAAACTGTCTAACCAGAATAGAAAGAGGAGGGACCCCGGTGCACAACTGAGCAAGAGGACAAATACATTAAGAGTGTCTAGTTTGAGAAACAGACGCCTCACAGGTCCTCAACTGGCAGCTTCATTAAATAGTACCCGCAAAACACCAGTCTCAACGTCAACAGTGAAGAGGCAACTCCGTGATGCTGACCTTCTAGGCAGAGCTGCAAAGAAAAAGCCATATCTCAGACTGGCCAATAAAAATAAAAGATTAAGATGGGCAAAAGAACACAGACACTGGACAGAGGAAGATTGGAAAAAAAGTGTTATGGACAGACAAATCGAAGTTTGAGGTGTTCGGATCACAAAGAAGAACATTTGAGACGTAGACCAAATGAAAAGATGCTGGAGAAGTGCTTGATGCAATCTGTCAAGCATGGTGGATGCAATGTGATGGTCTGGGGGTGCTTTGCTGGTGGTAAAGTGGGAGATTTGTACAGGGTAAAAAGGATCTTGAAGAAGGAAGGCTATCACTCCATTTTGCAACACCATGCCATACCCTGTGGACGGCGCTTGATTGGAGCCAATTTCCTCCTACAACAGGACAATGACCCAAAGCACAGCTCCAAACTATGCAATAACTATTTAGGGAAGAAGCAGTCAGCTGGTATTCTGTCTATAATGGAGTGGCCAGCACAGTCACCGGATCTCAACCCTATTGAGCTGTAGTGGGAGCAGCTTGACCGTATGGTACGTAAGAAGTGCCCATCAAGCCAATCCAACTTGTGGGAGGTGCTTCTCGAAGCATGGGGTGATATCTCTTCAGATTACCTCAACAACTAGAATGCCAAAGGTCTGCAAGGCAGCAAAGTTTGAAGGACACTATTATTATTTCAATTAAAAATCATTATTTTTAACCTTGTCAATGACTACATTTCCTATGCATTTTGCAATATTTCCTATTAAAACTAAATTCATGTATGTTTTCATGGAAAACAAGGACATTTCTAAGTGACCCCAAACTTTTGAACGGTAGTGTAAGTATTCAGACACTTTACTCAGTACTTTGTTGAAGCACCTTTGCCAATAATTAGAGCTTAGAGTCTTCTTGGGTTTGACGCTACAAGCTTGGCACACCTATATTTGCAGGGTTTCTCCCATTCTTTGCAGATCCTCTCCAGCTCTGTTAGGTTGGATGGGGAGCGTTGCTGCACAGCTATTTTCAGGTCTCTCCAGAGATGTTCGATCGGGTTCAAGTCAGGTCTCTGGCTGGGCCACTAAAGGACATTCAGAGACTTGACACGAAGCCACTCCAGCGTTGTCTTGGCTGTGTGCTTAGGGTCGTTCTCCTGTTGGAAGGTGAACCTTCGCGCCAGTCAGAGGTCTTGATCGCTCTGAAGCATGTTTTCATCAAGGATCTCTCTGGACTTTGCTCCATTCATCATTGCCTCGATCCTGACTAGTCTCCCAGTCCCTACCGGTGAAAAACATCTCCACAGCATTATGCTGCCACCACCATGCTTCACCGTAGGGATGGTGCCAGGTTTCCTCCAGACGTGACGCTTGGCATTCAGGCCAAAGACTTCAATCTTGGTTTCATCAGACCAGAGAATCTTGTTTCTCATGTTCTGAGAGTCCTTTAGGTGCCTTTTGGCAAACTCCAAGTGGGCTGTCGTGCCTTTTACTGAGGAGTGGCTTCCGTCTGGCCACTTTACCATAAAGGCCTGATTGGTGGAGTGCTGTAGAGATGGTTGTCCTTCTGGAAGGTTCTCCCATCTCCACAGAGGAGCTCTAGAGCTCTGTCAGAGCGACCATTGGGTTCTTGGTCACCTCTCTGACCAAGGCCATTCTCCCCCGATTGCTCAGTTTGGCCGGGCGGCCAGCTCTAGGAAGAGTCTTGGTGGTTCCAAACTTCTTCCATATAAGAATGATGGAGGCCACTGTGTTCTAGGGGACATTCAATGCTGCAGAAATGTTTTGGTACCCTTCCCCAGATCTATGCCTTGGCACAATCCTATCTCGGAGCTCTACGGACAATTCCTTCGACCTCGTGGCTTGGTTTTTGCTCTGACATGCACTGTCAACTGTGGGACCTTATATAGACAGGTGTGTGTCTCTCCAAATCATGTCCAATCAATTGAATTTCCCACAGGTGGACTCCAATCAAGTTGTAGAAACATCTCAAGGATGATCAATGGAAACAGGATGCACCTGAACTCAATTTCGAGTCTCATAGCAACTGGTCTGAATACTGATGTTAATAAGGTATTTCTGTTCTTTAGGTTTAATACAACATTGCAAAAATATCTAAAAACCTGTTTTCGCTTTGTCATTATGGGGTATTGTGTGTAGGTTGCTGAGGAATTGTTTTAATTTAATCAATTTTATAATAATGCTGTAATGTAGCAAAATTTGGAAAGAGTCAAGGGGTCTGAATACTTTCCGAATGCACTGTATAACAAGGACATCACGATGTGAGGACTTTGCAGTCCAAACTGCATCATATCAAACTCACAATCTCCATGATGGTAGCAACACAGAACTATAATAAGTTGGTGATTAGAGGTCTCAGCCTGTTCTATTCATTCCATTTCTATGGGTAGAATGTTGCAGCCCAAATGGCATTCAAACTCACATACACCATGATGGTAGCGCTTTGCAGTCTAAACTGAATTCAAAACAAACTAGCATAAACCACAGCAAAAGATTACTGTTACTATTTCTGTTGTTGACATTTTTAATACGTTTTATAACTGATTATTTCAACTTATTAAACAGTTAATCCGATAAAACTGGCATTCGGTATATGCTGTCGAAGTACAGTACAGTCTTTTGTGAGGGTTTAATGGTGCAGGGATAATTGCCATTGCCAGCTGAGTTCATCTCTTGTGTGTGTGTGCACGTGTGTGCGGATGAATAGAGAGATGCTAGCCTCATTTAACGTGGAGCTCAGGCAGAGAGAGGATGGAGGAAGCACCCATTACATTACACAATGACCACAGAGTCCAGAGGCTAGCCTGAATAGACTCCCAACCCTGCCTTCCCACCCTTTTCACTCACAATATTGACCTATTAACAGTTGGTTGGTTTTGGAAATGTCTCGTATTGAATTGAATGGCCACACATACAGAAAAGTTCAAAAGTTAGATTTCCCTTAGACTGGAGTGGCAATGTTCCAATTGCTTCATACCAAGTGTTATTAAGTTGTGTTTATATATTTTTGTAATTATATATTTTTTTTTGGGGGGGGGGGGACTGTCACCATCCACCCCTTCGGATGACAACTTTATTATTGGTATTTGAGTGTGGATGTTGGAACAGACCAAGTGACTCCTGTGACGCAATACATGTTACAGTATTTGGGTTTATCTTAAATCTAAACTAGCGTGGCGTTTTTGAATGTTCTCCCATTCAGGATCATCCACGAGGCCGGCTACTCTGAGGAGGAGTGTAAGCAGTACAGAGTGGTGGTGTACAGCAACACCATCCAGTCCGTCATCGCCATCATCAGAGCCATGGGACACCTGAAGATAGACTTTGGGGACGCCGCACGAGCGGTAGGCGACACGACACGACGCGACACGACGCATTGTGACGCGACATTTTGGTCCAGCAATGCAACTTTATGGTCCAGCAAAAACATACGTTTTTCTTAATGAGTGGTTTGCCTTATGGCTCTACTGCAGGGTTTCTTGAACTATGGGTCGGGACCAAACGTGGGTCTGTGAGAGTTGGGTCGACAGTTACAGCGCTATGATAAAGTATTTGCCCCCTTTCTAATTTTCTCTACTTTTGCATATTTGTGATACTGAATGTTATCAGATCTTCAACCAAAAAACCTAATATTAGATAAAGGGAACACAAGTGAACAAATAACACAACAATTACATATTTATTTCATAAACAAAGTTACGCAACACCCAATTCCCCTGTGTGAAAAAGTAATTGCCCCCTTACACTCAATAACTGGTTGTGCCGCCTTTAGCTGCAATGACTCCAACCAAATGCTTCCTGTAGTTGTTGATCAGTATCTCACGTCGCTGTGGAGGAATTTTGGCCCACTCTTCCATGCAGAACTGCTTTAACTCAGTGACGTGTGGGTTTTCAAGTATGAACTGCTCGTTTCAAGTCCTGCCACAACATCTCAATTGGGATTAGGTCTGGACTTTGACCATCATATCACCACCACCATGCTTGACCTTTGGTATGATGTTCTTACTGTGGAATGCAGTGTTTGGTTTTCGCCAGGCATAATGGGACCCATCTCGTCCAAAAAGTTGAGTCAAGTTTGCCAAAAAGCACCTGGATGATCATCAAGACTCTTGGAAGAACGTTCTATGGAAAGATGATTCAAAAGTATAACTTTTTGGACGACATGGTTCCAGTAATGCCTGGCGAAAACCCAAACTCTGCATTCCACAGTAAGAACATCATACCAAAGGTCAAGCATGGTGGTGGTGGTATGATGGTTTGGGGATGCTTTGCTGCCTCAGGACCTGGACGACTTGCCTTAATAGAAGGAACCATGAATTCTGCTCTGTATCAGAGAATTCTACAGAGGAATGTCAGACCATCCGTCTGTGAGCTGAAGCTGAAGCGCAGCTGGGTCATGCAGCAAGACAATGATCCAAAACACACAATCAAGTCTACATGAAAATTGCTAAAAAGCAACAAATTGGAAGTTTTGGAATGGCCTAGTCAAAGTCCAGACCTAATCCCAATTGAGATGTTGTGGCAGGACTTGAAACGAGCAGTTCATGCTTGAAAACTCACACGTCACTGAGTTAAAGCAGTTCTGCATGGAAGAGTGGGCCAAAATTCCCCAACAGCGACGTGAGAGACTGATCAACAACTACAGGAAGCATTTGGTTGGAGTCATTGCAGCTAAAGGTGGCACAACCAGTTATTGAGTGTAAGGGGGCAATTACTTTTTCACACAGGGGCATTGGGTGTTGCATAACTTTATTTATGAAATAAATGAAATAAATATGTAATTGTTGTGTTATTTGTTCACTTATGTTCCCTTTATCTAATATTAGGTTTTGGTTGAAGATCTGATAACATTCAGTATCACAAATATGCAAAAGTAGAGAAAATTAGAAAGGGGGCAAATACTTTTTCATTGCACTGTATGAGCTAAATCTATAATCACACACTATTTCTTCTTAATTTGGGTCTTTGGAGGGCAATTTGGGTCACCAGAGGACGGTCAATTTCTCATTTGGGTCTCGAGCTGAAAAGGTTTAAGAACCCATGCCCTACTGTATTTTATGAGCTGAGTCTTTACAGTTCTCATTGTCTACTGAGCAGGTCTCACATTTTCACCAAGGGCCTGATTTTAGATCTGAGAAAAGCGCACGCAACTCAGACTTTTCATCTTTTACAGGTGGGTTATTGTGTGTAGGCCAGTGACAAAGCATCTCTATTTAATCCATTTTAAGTTCAGGCTGTAACACAACAAAATGTTGAAAAAGTCAAGGGGTGTGAATACTTTTCAGAAGGAGCTGTACCTGTGGGAATGTACGAGCTTAGAAATTACCCTTTTTGGAAGCCGATTTTGGAATGTTTTGCAGCCTCCAGGGTTTTCCTCAGGAGGGGACATAGATCAACATATGGCAGTGTTTCCCAAACCTCTCCTTGAGTAACCACAGCGGTTCCACTTATTCTATCTATTCTAGACTACCTGATTTCAATTCATGAAGTGGTTGGTGATTGTACACTGAACAAAAATATAAACACGACATGCAACAATTTCAAAGATTTTACTGAGTTACAGTTCATATAAGGAAATCAGTCAATTTAAATAAATAAATTAGGCCGTAATCTATGGATTTCACATGCCTGGGGATACAGATATGCATCTGTTGGTCACAGATACCTTAAAAAATAAGTAGGGGCGTGGAACCAGTCAGTATCTGGTGTGACCATTTGCCTCATGCAGCGCGACACATCTCCTTCACATAGAGTTGATCAGGCTGTTGATTGTGGCCTGTGGAATGTTGTCCCACTCCTCTTCAATGGTTGTGTGAAGTTTCTGGATATTGGTGGGAACTGGAACACGCTGTCGTACACGTCGATCTAGAGCATCTCAAACATGCTCAATGGGTGACATGTCTGATGAATATGCAGGCCATGGATAAACTGGGACATGTTCAGCTTCCAGGAATTGTGTACAGATCCTTGCGACATGGGGCCGTGCATTATCATGCTGAAACATGAGGTGATGGCGGCGGATAAATTGCAAGACAAATGGGCCTCAGGATCTCGTCATGGTATCTCTGTGCATTCAAATTGCCATCGATAAAATGCAATTGTGTTCGTTGTCCGTAGCTTATGCCTGCCCATACCATAACCCCACCATGGGGCACTCTGTTCACAATGTTGATATCAGCAAACCGCTCGCCCACACAATGCCATACATGCTGTCTGCTATCTTCCCGGCACAGTTGAAACAGTGATTCATTTGTGAAGAGCACACTTCACCAGCGTGCCAGTTGCCATCGAAGGTGAGCTTTTCCCCGCTGAAGTCGGTTACGTCGTCGAACTGCAGTCAGGTCAAGACCCTGGTGAGGATGACGAGCACGCAGATGAGCTTCCCTGAGATGGTTTCTGAATGTTTGTGCAGAAATTATTTGGTTGTGCAAACCCACAGTTTCATCAGCTGTCCGGGTGAAGAAGCCGGATGTGGAGGTCATGGGCTGGCGTAGTTACACGTGATCTGCGGTTGTGAGGCCGGTTGGACGTACTGCCATATTCTCTAAAACGACGTTGGAGGTGGCTTATGGTAGAGAATTGAACATTAAATCTCTGGCAACAGCTCTGGTGGACATTCCTTCAGTCAGCATACAATTGCATGCTCCCTCAACTTGAGACATGTACTGCACATTTGAGTGGCCTTTTATTGTCCCCAGCACAAGGTGTACCTGTGTAATGATCATGCTGTTTAATCAGCTTCTTGATATGCCACACCTGTCAGGTGGATGGATTATCTTGGCAAAGGAGAAATGCTCATTAACAGGGATGTAAACAAATTTGAGCACATCATTTGAGAGAAATAAGCTTTTTGTGTGTATGGAACATTTCTGGGATATTTAATTTCAGCTCATGAAACATGGGACCAACGCTTAGCATGTTGCGTTTATATTTTTGTTCTGTGTAGTTAACCAGTTGAATCAGGCGAGCTTGTTCTGGAATAGATTAAGCATCTGGAACTGGCTGGGTATGGGTCCCAGAAGCGATTTGGGGAAACAAATTGATCTGGTCAATCAATTAATCACTGGTCTAATGAGCATGTCTATGTTGCCAGGACGATGCTCGTCAGCTGTTTGTATTGGCTGGTACAACGGAGGAGGGTGTGGTATCATCGGATCTGACCGGCGTGATGCGGAGACTGTGGACGGACAGCGGGGTCCAGAACTGCTTCCTGCGCTCCAGAGAGTACCAGCTCAACGACTCAGCATCCTAGTAAGACACACACACACACACACACACACAGACCGACAGACACAGTACACACACAGATACACATGCACAGTACACCTCCACTTGTCATGCTTATAGACTGGTTTTATTTACACGTACTACAAATACGTGCCACAAAGATGCACCCCTGGCATTTTACAATGCTGGAATTTAATTGCAGCTTGCCGGTGTAGCTTCCAAAAGCTGTAAACTGCCGACAGATTCCATTCAAGAGGACGACAGTGTTTCTTAATTCACTGATATGATCTTGTGATACACGACTGAAACTCGCCTCGCCCTCTTTCCCCTGTATTTCTGTTATGCTAAACCTGACAGGAGAGAGGGACAAGACTGGACTTGCTCATCCTTCTGTCTTGTACAAGCTTGTTCAGAATGTAGACCTAGCTAACTGATACAGCTCATGGTGTTGGCAGTGGGAGATGATGATAAACACAAACATTACTCAGCTGGTTGTCCAGCTGTTATCGTTTCAGTTATGAAATATTAGAGTTGCTCTACAAGTGTAAATGAATGTATTACACTGTAGCATATTGTTTATCCAGCTGTCATTTCAGTTATAATTTGAATTAGTTACAGTTCTGATTTAGAACCTTCATCGTAGAGGAATGTAATTGACTGTAGCCTACACACCGTGTATTACGCTATACAGTAGATAGTGTAAATACAGTAGATAGTGTAAATACAGTAGATAGTGTAAATACAGTAGATTGTGTAAATACAGTAGATAGTGTAAATACAGTATACTGTAATTGTACACCAGAATCTAAAAGAGGGAACTAACTTTATTTATACATCTACTGAATATTTAGACCAGGGTTCCCCAACCCCCCCCCCCCCCCCTGTAAAAACACCAGCAAATCAGCTCAGTGATATTTATTTGGTCTTTTCCAAAGTATACCCATGCATAATAGAGCGTTATTTAGGTACACCGTCCTGTTCATGAAAATGGTTTGCTCCTACAGACAGTGAGTCACGTGGCCGTGGCTTGCTATATGAAGCAGGCAGGCGGGCATCGAGACATTCAGTTACTGTTCGATTTGAACATTAGAATGGGCAAAACAAGTGCCCTAATCGACTTTGAGCGTGGTATGATTGTCGGTGCCAGGCCTGCCGGTTCCAGTATCCCAGAAACTCCTGGGCTTTTCACGCACCACAGTGTCTAGGGTTCACCGAGAATGGTGCGACAAACAAAAAAACATCCAGTCAGCAGCAGTCCTGTGGGCGAAAACAGCTTGTTGATGAGAGGTCGAAGGAGAATGGCAAGAATGGTGCAAGCTAACAGGCTAACCACAAACAGGCAAATAACGGCGCAGTACAACAGTGGTGTGCAGAACTGCATCTCAGAACACAAAAACCCGTCGGTCCTTGTCACAGGTGGCCTATTGCAGCAGACGACCACACCGGGTTCCACTCCTATCAGCTAAAAACTACAAGAAGCGGCTCCAGTTGGGCATGCGATCACCAACACTGGACAATTGAGAAGTGGAAAAACATTGCCTGGTCCGACAAGTCCCGGTTCCTGTTGCGTCATGCTGATGGAAGAGTCCGAATTTGGCTTAAGGTTTGGGGAATGTTTTCCTGGCACACGTTAGGTTCCTTGATACTAATTGAGCAATGTTTCCATGCCCTGAAACATTTGGGCTGTTCTGGAGGCAAGGGGGGGGGGGGTCTAACCCGGTACTAGATGGGAGTACCTAATAATCTGAGTGTATGTGATCGTATACAATCGAAAGCAAAGGTTTGAAATTATTATGTTATATTCATTTTATATCTGTTTTGGGCTTCTTGCGGTCAATTTGCAGTCTTCAAATTATTTGTAATTATGTTCCAGCCCACTGACCATCCGCTCAAGAAAAAATCGTCCCGTGGCTGAATCTAGTTGATGATCCCTGATTTTAGACAATGTCACCATAAGAGGAAGTTCACGTAGACCAAGAACAATAGTGTATAATTTTTTCCCAGTGAGTTATTTACCATTATGATAAATGCTAAGTTAATAGCAACCTTTTGGTGTCCATATCACACATCCTGCCTGGCGCGGGGGTAGTGGGTTAGTGTGAAGGACACGTCGACTTTGTTTTGGCAACACAGGACATGTAGTGGTAGTTGTAGGTCAGAGCTGTCTGTCTGTCAATGCAAGACCTGGGTTCAAATAGTATTTAAAATAATTTAAAATACTGTGCTTGATTGAGCTTGCCTGGCTTAATGGACCAATGGAATAGTCCCAAAAGTGCAAACTCCACCCACCTGGAACTACAGGCAGTCTAGAGCCAAACGCTCAAAGTATTTAAACATGTCTGGTTGTGTCTAGGGGCTCTCTGTCTGTCTGTCCACGTTACATAGCTGCTTGGTTGGAGAGACTACTAGAGTGAGTCAGCCTAGCCATAACATGCTCTCTGTTTTCACTCACACCTCTAGCAGCCGATGTTTATCATTTATCAACATATTTAGACTAAATTCACATGGATTCCACAGGCCTCTGCTGTCTCTGTCTGTCCTCCTGTCCAGCCTCGTCTGTCTCTGTCTGTCCTCCTGACCAGCCTCGTCTGTCTCTGTCTGTCCTCCTGTCCAGCCTTGTCTGTCTCTGTCTGTCCTCCTGACCAGCCTCGTCTGTCTCTGTCTGTCCTCCTGACCAGCCTCGTCTGTCTCTGTCTGTCTTCCAGTCCAGCCTCGTCTGTCTGTCCTCCAATCCAGCCTCGTCTGTCTGTCCTCCAGTCCAGCCTCGTCTGGCTCTGTCTGTCTCTCTGTCCTCCTGTCCAGCCTCGTCTGTCTGTCCTCCAGTCCAGCCTCGTCTTTCTCTGCCTCTCAGGTCTCGGCTGTCTCTGTCTGTCGTCTCTCAGGTCTCGGCTGTCTCTGTCTGTCGTCTCTCAGGTCTCGGCTGTCTCTGTCTGTCGTCTCTCAGGCCTCGGCTGTCTCTGTCTGTCGTCTCTCAGGTCTCGGCTGTCTCTGTCTGTCGTCTCTCAGGTCTCTGCTGTCTCTGTCTGTCGTCTCTCAGGTCTCGGCTGTCTCTGTCTGTCGTCTCTCAGGCCTCGGCTGTCTCTGTCTGTCGTCTCTCAGGCATCGGCTGTCTCTGTCTGTCATCTCTCAGGTCTCGGCTGTCTCTGTCTGTCGTCTCTCAGGTCTCGGCTGTCTCTGTTACCAGAGAATATGTCCTCCAGTCACATCCACTTGACTGTTGTTCACTTTGTAAAAAGGGCTTTACATACCTTTTGATTGATTGACTGGACATACTGTCTAAATCAAATCAAAGCAAATGTTATCCGTCACATGCTTCGTAAACAACCGGTGTAGACTAACAGTGAAATGCTTACTTATGGGCCCTTCCCAACAATGTAGAGAGAAAGAAAATAGAGAAATAATAAAAAAGTAAAACATGTAATAATAAATACACAATTAGTAACGGTTCTACTAAGCGAACATATGGAAGTATCATTTATCTATTTGATTTTGAATTTTAGGACCCCTTTAGGTATATATAAAAAATTAAATAAAAGATACCTTTTAGACCAGTCTTGTGAGGCTTGTGGGTGTCCTAGAGCAAAACCGACGTGTTCGTGAGAGTCTCACCTTTCCATATGGGTCACACTAGTAGGTAACCCAAACTGTTCGGACGCTACAGACAGAAGTTGGCAGATCGGCGGTACCGATTTCAGACAAGTCCCTGGCTGCATCACCACTTGTGGGTGTTGTAGAGCAAAACAGAGAACACCATTGTGTTCGTGAGAGTCATCTTTCCATAGAGTGGTCATATTAGTTCGGACGCTACAGATGTTTTTGTGAGAAGACCGATTTTCAGGACGTCTCATGGTCTGACAAACACCGCTGTAGCTCGGCCAGCTTCCACCGCAGATGCTGAAGGCCACCATTAGCAGATGCTAATGGTAAAGAAAACATCTCTAGCTTAAACAGAAGGATTTTTATGGGGATTTCTTTATTATACTAATTAGATTTCCGTGGGGGTGCGGACATTGACTCTAGGGGGTTAACTATCTATTTAGCAGTCTTATGGCTTGGGGGTAGAAGCTGTTCAGGGACCTGTTGGTTCCAGACTTGGGGCATCAATACCGCTTTCTGTGCGGTAGCATAGAGAACAGTCTGACTTGGGTGGCTGGAGTCTTTGACAATTTTTAGGGCCTTCCCCTGACACCGCCTGGTATAGAGGTCCTGGATGCCAGGGAGCTCGGCCCCAGTGATGTAGTGCCTTGCGGTCGGATGCCAAGCAGTTGCCATACCTAGCGGTGATGCAGGTCTCATCGTCGTCGGTGATCAGGCCTACCACCGTTGTGTCTTCGGCAAACTTAATGATGGTGTTGGAGTCGTGCGCGGCCACGCAGTCGTGGGTGAACAGGTAGTACAGGAGGGGACTAAGCACGCACCCCTGAGGTGCCCCCGTGTTGAGGGTCAACGTGGGTTATGTGTTGTTGCCTACCCTCACCAGCTGGGGTCGGCCTGTCAGGAAGTCCAGGATCCAGTTGCAGAGGGAGGTGTTCAGTCCCAGGGTCTTTACAGTGCCTTCAGAAAAGTATTCACACCCCTTGACTTTTTCCACATTTTGTTGCGCTACAGCCTGAATTTAAAATGGGTTAAACAGAGATGTTTTGTCACTGGCCTGAACACAATACCCATAATGCCAAAGTGGAATTATTTTTCAAATGTTTTACTAATGAATTAGAATGAAAAGCTGAAATGTATTGATTCAATAAGTCTTCAACCCATTTGTTATGGCAAGCCTAAATAAGTTCAGGAGTAAAAATGTGCTTAACAAGTCACATAAGTTGCATGGCAATAATAGTGTTTAACATGATTTTTGAATGACTACCTCATCTCTGTACCCCACACATACAATTATCTGTAAGGTCCCTCAGTCGAGCAGTGAATTTCAAACACAGATTCAACCACAAAGACCAGGGAAGTTTTCCAATGCCTCGCAAAGAAGGGCACCTATTGGTAGATGGGTAGAAATAAAAAAAAGCTGACATT